ATCCGTTCATCATAAAAAGCTCAACAAATTAGGTATAAAAATGCATCACAACACAATTAGTGCCATATATTACAAACTCACAGCTAATGTCATCTTTACTTGTACAAAGTTGAAAGCTTTTCTACTAAGATCAGGAGCAAGAGAAGGATGTTCACCCCAACTGCTTCTATTCAATATAATAATAAAAGTTCTAGCCAGAAAAACTGGGCAAGAGAAAGAAAAAAAAATACACCCAAATTGGAAAAGAAAAAAGTTAAATTGTTTCTGTTTGCAGATGACATGATCTTTTATGTAGAAAACTCTAAATATTCCTTGAAAAAACTGTTAAACTAATAAATTCAGTAAAGTTGCAGTACACCAAATCAACTTACAAAAATCACTAGTTTCCGTACACTGACAAGGTATCTGAAAAAGAGACAAGAAAGGATCCCATTTACAATAGCATCAAAAAAATACTTAGGATTGGAAGAATTAGTATTGCTAAAATATCCATATTACTCACAATGATCTACCAATTCAATGAAATTTTTGTCAAAATATTGATGACTTTTTCACAGAAATACAAAAAACAATTCTAAAATTTCTATGGAACCACAAAAGACCCAGAATAGTCAAAGCAATCTTGAGAAACAAGAAGAAAGCTGAAGACATCATATTATCTAACATCAAACCATACTACACAGCTATGGCAATAAAAACAGCAAGGTACTGACATAAAGAGTGACATAAAGACCACTGAAACAAAGCAAACAGTCCAGAAATAAATCTATGCACTTACAGTCAATTGGTTTTTGTCAAAGGTTGCAAGAACACAGAATGAGGAAATAACAGTCTCTTCAATAAACAGATGTTGGGAAAATTGAATATCCACATAGAGAAGAACAAAATTAGCCCTTTATCTCACACCATATTTAAAAATCAACTCAAAATGGACTAAAGGCTTAAATCAAAGACCTGAAACTGGAAAACTATTAAAAGGAAGTATAGGGAAAAAAGTTTTTGACATTGGACTGGGCAATGATTTTTTCTTTTTCTTCTTCTTCTTCTTTTTAATATATAAATCCCAAAGCCCAGACAACAGAAGCAAAATAAACAAATGGGATTGCATTAAGCTAAAAAGCTTTTGCACAGCAACGAACATAAATAATAGACTGAAAAGACAACCTATGGAGTGAGAGAAAATATTTAGAACCATATATCTGCAAATGCTTAATATCCAAAACACGTATCAGGAACTCAAACAACTCAATAGTAAGAAAAAGAATAACCTCCCTTAAAAATGGGCAAAATATTTGAAAAGACATTTCTCAAAGGAAGAAATACAAATGACCAACAGGTATATGAAAAAATTCTAACATCATTCATCATCAGGGAAATACAAATTAAAACCATAATGAAATATCATCTCACACCTGTTAAAATGAATATTATCAAAAAGATTGAAGATAACAAAGTTGGTGAAGATGTGGAGAAAGGGGAACATTTGACCACCGTTGGTAGAAATATAAATTACTTCATCTATTGTGGAAAATACTATAGAGATTCCTTAAAAACTACCATATGATCCAACAATCCCTTTACTGGGAATATAGCCAAAGGAAATGAAATTAGTGTGTTCAAGACACATCTGCATTCTCATGTTCATTGCAGCATTATTCACAATAGCCTAAATATGGAATCAATCTATGTATCAATTGACAGATGAATTAATAAATAAAATGTGGTGCATGTATGTATCTATATATAAAATAAAATATCATTCATCCTTAAAAAAGAAGCAAATCTTGTCATTTGTGACAACATAAATGAACCAGGAGGACATAGCTAAGTGAATAAGTCAGGCACGGGAAGACAAATACTTCATGATCTCACTTATACGTAAGATCTAAAAAAGTTTAACTCTTGGGAGGCCGAGGCGGGCGGATCATGAGGCAGGAGATTGAGACCATCCTGGCTAACACGGTAAAACCCCGTCTCCACTAAAAATACAAAAAATTAGCCAGGCGTGATGGCGGGCGCCTGTAGTCCCAGCTACTCGGGAGGCTGAGGCAGGAGAATGGCGTGA